GGGGACACCTGGTGACACAACCAAGGCGACACCAGGACTGGGGACACCGCACCAAGTGGACACCGGGACCGAGGTGACACCCGGGGACAAACCCGAAGCCACACCCCGGGCACTCGCCCCACCCCCTCCCCCGTGTCCCCCAGTGTCCCCCAGTGTCCCTCACCAGTAGTTGGGGGCAGAGAAGACGGTGACACAGCGGCCATCGTGGGCCACCTCGTAGCCCTCGGGCTTGACCTCGTGGCTGCGGATGATGAGCTCGAGGCGGTTCCGCTCCAGGAAGCGCTTGGTGACATCGGGGCCAAACTGGCAACTGACCCCTCGTTTGCTGACTGACCGGCCGTTCTGGGGACATTGGGGACATTGTGGGGACATTGGGGACACTGGGGGCATCGGGGACATTGGGGACATTTGGGGCATTGGGGGCATCAGGGACACTGGGGACATCGAGGACATTGGGGACATTGTGGGGACATTGGGGACAAACTGGCAACTGACCCCTCGTTTGCTGACTGACCGGCCGTTCTGGGGACATTGGGGACATTGGGGACATTGTGGGGACATTGGGGACACTGGGGGCATCGGGGACATCAGGGGCATCGGGGACATTGTGGGGACATTGGGGCCAAACTGGCAACTGACCCCTCGTTTGCTGACTGACCGGCCGTTCTGGGGACATTGGGGACATTGTGGGGACATCAGGGACATCAGGGGCATCAGGGACATTGGGGACATCGGGGACATTGTGGGGACATTGTGGGGACATCGGGGCCAAACTGGCAACTGACCCTCCGTTTGCTGACTGACCAGCCGTTCTGGGGACATTGGGGACATTGTGGGGACATTGGGGACACCGGGGACATCAGGGGCATCGGGGACATTTGGGACACTGGGGACATCAGGGGCATCGGGGGCATCAGGGGCATTGGGGACATTGTGGGGACATCGGGGCCAAACTGGCAACTGACCCCTCGTTTGCTGACTGACCGGCCGTTCTGGGGACATTGGGGACATTGGGGACACTGGGGACATTGTGGGGACATTGGGGACATTGTGGGGACATTGGGGACATTGTGGGGACATTGGGGACATTGGGGACATTGTGGGGACATTGGGGACATTGTGGGGACATTGGGGACACAGCCAGGGGACAGCAGGGTCAGCTGGCATGGGGGAGATGGTGACAGAGTTGGTGGCACTGGGCCACCAGGACATGGCAGAGGATGGCACTGGGATGCAGTGGGTGATATCACCAGGACCTTGGGGACAGGGTGGAGAATGTCACCAGAACCTGGGGACAGGGCAGGGGACACCCCCAGGACCTTGGGGACAGGGCAGGGGACACCCCCAGGATTTGGGGACACGACAGGTGACATCCCCAGGTGGGGTGACAGCTCACCTGGGGCTGGGGGTCAGACCAGAGCAGGTCACACATCGGCCCTGGGGGGACACAGCGGGGGGGGGTCACAGCTGAGTCCCTTCGGTGGGGACACCTTGGGGACACTTTTGGGGACATCTCGGGGTGGGGTCCCTGTCCCACCTGAGTCCGGGGGCTGCCGGTTCCGCTCGATCTTGCGGATGTCATCGAGGGTCACCCCGTCCTCGCTGAAGAGCCCCCCGTGCATGATCTGGGTGGGGACACGTGGTGGGGACATGGAGGGGACAGCAGGGACAGGGGGGGGACAGCAGGGACAGCAGAGACACCCCAAACCCCAAGGGGCACAGGGATGGGGTGGGTGGGTGGGGGTGGGTGGTCAAATTCCCCCATTTTTGTTCGGCTTGCCCAAAAGAGATCCAATACAATCAACGGGGCTGCCAAATAGTGAGAAATCGGGGGTGCCATATAGTGACCCATAAAAATCAATGGAGGCTGCCAAATAGTGATCCCAAGGGGGATGCCAAATAGTGACCCATAAAAATCAATGGGCGCTGCCAGATAGTGAGCCACAACGGCTACCAAATACTGATCTATTCACACCAATGGGCGCTGCCAGATAGTGAGCCATCGGGGCTACCAAATACTGATCTATTCACACCAATGGGCGCTGCCAGATAGTGAGCCATAAGGGCTACCAAATAATGATCTATTCACACCAATGGGCGCTGCCAGATAGTGACCCCAGGTGACAATGTCCCCCCCGTGTCCCCTCACCAGCACTTTGCCGTTGATGCACTGGGCCAGGGGCAGCCACTCGAAGACCTCGCTGAAGAGGGCGAACATCTGCGCCGTGTACTTGGCCTTCACCTCGCCCTCGAAGCCGTAGATCTGGTTCATGTTGTCCGTCTCGTGGTTCCCTGAGGGGACACGGGGACAGTGCCACCCCTGGGGACAACTGCCACCCCTGGGGACACGGGTAGGGGCCTGGGGACAACTGCCACCCCTGGGGACAACTGCCACCCCTGGGGACAACTGCCACCCCTGGGGACACGGGCAGGGGTCTGGGGACACTGACCGGGGCACAGGGACAACTGCCACCCCTGGGGACACAGACAGGGGCCTGGGGACACTGACCGGGGTCTGGGGACAACTGCCACCCCTGGGGACACGGGCAGGGGTCTGGGGACACTGACTGGGACACAGGGAACAACTGCCACCCCTGGGGACAATTGCCACCCCTGGGGACACGGGCAGGGGCCTGGGGACACTGACCGGGACACAGGGACATCAGTGCCAAATAGTGAGCCATTAGAGTAAATGCCACCCCTGGGGACACTCTCGGGATTGCCACCAACCCCAGGGGGACAGGGATGTCCCCAAACCCCCTGGATGTCACCAACCCCCAGAGGACAGGGATGGGACAGCGACACAAACTCCCCTTTACACGACCTGCCAGAAAGTGAGCTATAGCGAACAACGGGAGCTGCCAGATAGTGATCCACAGGGGACAACGCGGTGACAAGAGGGGACAAGAGGGGACAGCTGTGGGGGGACACGACCCCCCCCCAGGCCCGGCCAGGCTCTGGAGTTACCTCGGAGCAGGTGGAAGTGGTCGGGGTAGAGCAGCTTGAAGCCAAAGAGCGTCAGGATGACCTCGACCGAGAAGGAGCCGCGGTCCACGAAGTCCCCGTTGAAAATCTGTCACCAGCTCAGGACAAAGACCCTCCCCCAACTCCCAGAGTGTCCCCAGTGTCCCCTCAGCGCCCCCCACCCCATCCCCGGGGAGGGGGTTCCCCGCCCAGGCTGTGGATACGTAAGGGTTGGCCTCGGAGGGGAGCCCGTTGAGCTCGAAGATGTTGAGCAGGTCGTAGAACTGGCCGTGGGTGTCGCCGCACACCGTCACCTTCTCCGTCTGCTCGGGGGACACCGCGGGGAGGGGGGGGGGTGGCACCAACGTCACCGTGAGGGGATGGCGACATCCCCACCCCCACCCCCGAGAGCCCCCAGACCCTCACACCCCCAGCCCCACAAACACACACCTCCTTCAACGTGGTCTCCACCAGGGTGGGCAGCTTGGCCAGCACCTCCTTCACCTGCACCAGGATCTGCGGGGTGGGGACGTGAGGGGACATTTGGGGACAGCACGGGGGCTTTTTGAGGGTTTTTTTGGG